CTGAGATCCTCAAGTGACCATCAGTGACCATCAGTGACCATCAGTGACCATTGATGGCCTTCAATGACCATCACTGACCATCACTGACCATTAATGGTTCCATCAAACCAGCCCTGAGATCCTCAAGTGACCATCAGTGACCATTGATGGCCATCAGTGACCATCACTGACCATCACTGACCATCAATGGTTCCATCAAGCCATCCCTGAGATGCTCAAGTGACCATCAGTGACCATCACTGACCGTCAATGGTTCCATCAAACCAGCCCTGAGATCCTCAAGTGACCATCACTGACCACCAGTGACCATCACTGACCATCACTGACCAGCAGTGACCATCACTGACCACCAATGGTTCCATCAAACCAGCCCTGAGATCCTCAAGTGACCATCAGTGACCATTGATGGCATTCACTGACCATCACTGACCATCAATGGTTCCATCAAGCCATCTCTGAGATGCTCAAGTGACCATCAGTGACCACCAGTGACCACCACTGACCATTGATGGCCTTCAATGACCAGCACTGACCATCACTGACCATCAGTAGTTCCTTCAAACCAGCCCCGAGATCCTCAAGTGACCACTAGTGACCATCACTGACCATCAGCGACCATCACTGACCATCACTGGCCATCACTGACCACCAATGGTTCCATCAAACCAGCCCTGAAATCCTCAAATGACCATCACTGACCACCAGTAACCATCAATGGTTCCATCAAACCATCTCTGAGATCCTCAAGTGACCATCAGTGACCATCAGTGACCACCACTGACCACCAACAGTTCCTTCAAACCAGCCCCAAGATCCTCAAGTGACCACCCCTGACCACCAACGGTTCCACCAAACCTCCTCTGAGATCCTCAAGTAACCATCACTGACCACTGATGGCCTTCAATGACCATCACTGATCATCAGTGACCACCAGTCACCATCAATGACCATCACTGACCAGCAGTGACCCTCAGTGACCAGCACTGACCACCACTGACCATCGCTTGCCGGCCGAGCGCACCAGCGCCTGCAGCGCCAGGTCCGGCGGCGCCGGCGCGGGCAGCGAGGCGCGCAGCTCGGCCACGATCTGCTCCTCCGCTCCTGGGGACACGCGAGGGACACGTGAGGGACACGTGAGGGACACGTGACCAGCAGTGACCACTGATGGTTCCTTCAAACCAGCCCTGAGATCCACAGGTGACCATCAGTGACCATTGATGGCCTTCAATGACCAGCACCGACCATCAGTGACCATCAATGGTTCCATCAAACCAGCCCCGAGATCCACAGGTGACCATCAGTGACCATTGATGGCCTTCAATGACCATCACTGACCATCACTGACCATCAGTAACCACCAGTAACCACCAATGAACATCAGTGACCAGCAGTGACCATCACTGATCATCACTGACCATCACTGACCACCAATGGTTCCATCAAACCAGCCCTGAGATCCTCAAGTGACCATCAGTGACCATTGATGGCATTCACTGACCATCAGTGACCATCACTGGTTCCATCAAGCCATCTCTGAGATCCTCAAGTCACCATCAGTGACCATCACTGACCACCAACAGTTCCATCAAACCAGCCCTGAAATCCTCACGTGACCATCACTGACCACCACTGACCATCAGTGACCACCAATGGTTCCATCAAACCAACCCTGAGATCCTCAAGTGACCATCAGTGACCACCAGTGACCACCACTGACCATCAGTGACCACCACTGACCGTCACTGACCGTCAATGGTTCCATCAAACCAGCCCCGAGATCCTCAGGTGACCATCAGTGACCATCAGTGACCATCTCTGACCATCACTGACCACCAGTGACCATCACTGACCATCAGTGACCATCAGTGACCACCAATGGTTCCACCAAACCTCCTCTGAGGACCATCAGTGACCATCACTGACCATTGATGGCCTTCAATGACCATCACTGATCATCAGTGACCACCAGTCACCATCAATGACCACCACTGACCACCACTGACCCTCAGTGACCAGCACTGACCACCACTGACCATCGCTTGCCGGCCGAGCGCACCAGCGCCTGCAGCGCCAGGTCCGGCGGCGCCGGCGCGGGCAGCGAGGCGCGCAGCTCGGCCACGATCTGCTCCTCCGCTCCTGGGGACAGGTGGCCAGCATCAGTGACCGGCAGTGACCATCACTGACCATCACTGACCAGCAGTGACCATCACTGACCACCAATGGTTCCATCAAACCAGCCCTGAGATCCTCAAGTGACCATCAGTGACCATTGATGGCCATCAGTGACCATCACTGACCATCACTGACCATCAATGGTTCCATCAAGCCATCTCTGAGATGCTCAAGTGACCATCAGTGACCATCACTGACCACCAACAGTTCCATCAAACCAGCCCTGAGATCCTCAAGTGACCATCACTGACCACCAGTGACCATCACTGACCATCAATGTTTCCATCAAACCAGCCCCGAGATCCTCAGGTGACCATCAGTGACCATCAGTGACCATCTCTGACCATCACTGACCATCACTGACCAGCAATGGTTCCATCAAACCAGCCCTGAGATCTTCAAGTGACCATCAGTGACCATCACTGACCACCACTGACCATCACTGACCACCCCTGACCACCAATGGTTCTATCAAACCAGCCCTGAGATCCTCACGGGACCATCACTGACCACCACTGACCATTGATGGTCTTCACTGACCACCACTGACCATCACTGACCATCAATGGTTCCTTCAAACCAGCCCTGAGATCCTCAAGTGACCATCAGTGACCATCAGTGACCATCACTGACCACCCCTGACCACCAACGGTTCCATCAAACCACCTCTGATATCCCCAGAAAAACCTTCCTGTGCCCAGGTGTGCCCCAGGTGTGTCTATGGATATCCAGGTGTGCCTAGGTGTCTGCCCAGGTGTGTCTATGAGTGCCCAGGTGTGTGCCCAGGTGTGTCTGTGTGCACTGAGGTGTATCCCAGGTGTGTCTATGGGTATCCAGGTGTGCCCAGGTGTGTGCCCAGGTGCGTCTGTGCGTGCCCAGGTGTGTCTGTGTGCACTGAGGTGTATCCCAGGTGTGTCTATGGGTATCCAGGTGTGCCCAGGTGTGTACCCAACTGTGTCTATGAGTGCCCAGGTGTGCCCAGGTGTACCCAGGTGTCCCCACGTGTATCTGTATGTCCCCAGCTGTCCCCAGGTGTCCCCAGGTGTGCCCAGGTGTATCTGTGTGTGCCCAGGTGTGTCTGTGTGCACTGAGGTGTATCCCAGGTGTGTCTATGGGTATCCAGGTGTGCCCAGGTGTGTGCCCGGGTGTGTCTATGAGTACTCAAGTGTCCCCAGGTGTATCCCAGGTGTGTCTATGGATATCCAGGTGTGCCCAGGTGTGTACCCAGGTGTGTCTGTGTGCACTGAGGTGTATCCCAGCTGTGTCTATGGGTATCCAGGTGTGCCCAGGTGTGTACCCAGGTGTGTCTACGAGTGCCCAGGTGTGCCCAGGTGTGTACCCAGGTGTGTCTATGAGTACTCAAGTGTCCCCAGGTGTCCCCAGGTGTACCCAGGTGTGCCCAGGTGTATCTGTATGTCCCCAGGTGTATCTCAGGTGTGTCTCTGAGTACCCAGGTGTGTGCCCAGGTGTGCCCAGGTGTGTCTATGAGTACCCAGGTGTGCCCAGGTGTGTGCCCAGGTGTGTCTCTGAGTACCCAGGTGTGTCCCCAGGTGTGCCCAGGTGTGCCCAGGTGCCCAGGCGCGCTCACCGTTGATGAGGTAGGGGTGGTTGCAGCACTTGCGCAGCTCCATCATGGTGTTGAGCAGGTTGGGCACGTTGCCGTGCCCCGCCCCGCGCGCCAGGTAGGCGAAGTTGCGCTCCAGGATGGCGCGGTAGAGGCGCTTCTGCGCGTTGGTCAGCTCCACCTCGATGATGGTCTCCTGCTTGGGCGCCAGGTTCTTCTCCACGTCCTCCTTGAGGCGGCACAGCATCATGGGCTTCAGCAGCGCCTGCAGCTTCTGCACCTGCACAGGTAACACAGGTAATGGACAGGTGAGACACAGAGAGCATCATGGGCTTCAGCAGCGCCTGCAGCTTCTGCACCTGCACAGGTAAGGGACAGGAGGGACAGGTGAGACACAGAGAACATCATGGGCTTCAGCCAGCTTCTGCACCTGCACAGGTAACACCGGTAACGGACAGGTGAGACACACACAGCATCATGGGCTTCAGCAGCGCCTGCAGCTTCTGCACCTGCACAGGTAACACAGGTAATGGACAGGTGAGGGACACACAGCATCATGGGCTTCAGCAGCGCCTGCAGCTTCTGCACCTGCACAGGTAACACAGGTAATGGACAGGTGAGACACATAACAGACAGGTGAGACAGGTAATGGACACACAACATCGTGGGCTTGAGCACCATCTGCAGCTTCTGCACCTGTGCAGGTAAAGGACAGGTGAGACAGGTAAAGGACAGGTAAAACAATTGAGCCAGGTGAGATGTGTAAGGAGCCTCAGCAGTGCCTGCAGCTTCTACACCTGCACAGGTGGGACAGGTGAGACAGGTGGGCAAGGCTCAGGAAGTCTCCAACTTGCCCAGGTGTGCTCAGGTGAGCCCCAAACTCCTCTCCAAGACCACGCCACGACCTCAAAGCCCTCCCAACCCCCCCCAGGTGTGCCCAGGTGTGCCCAGGTGTGCCCAGGTGTGCCCAGGTGCGCTCCTCACCTGCTCCTCGGTCTTGAGGTCGCCGAAGTCCTTGAGGAACTCGGCCTCGGACGGGAACTGGGAGGGCTCCAGGAAGTGCAGGAGGCTGAAGAGCTCCTCGACCGTGTTCTGCAGAGGTGTGCCCGTCAGCAGCACCTTGTGCTCCTGCAGGTGACACAGGTAAGACAGGTGAGACACGTAAAATGGGTAAAACAGGTGAGACACAGGTGGGACAGGTGAGGCTGAAGAGCTTCTCGGCCGTGTTCTGCAGAGGTGTGCCCGTCAGCAGCACCTTGTGCTCCTGCAGGTAACACAGGTGACACAGGTAACACAGGTGAGACAGGTAACACAGGTAAAATGGGTAAAACAGGTGAGGCACAGGTGGGACAGGTGGGGCTGAAGAGCTCCTCGACCGTGTTCTGCAGAGGTGTGCCCGTCAGCAGCACCTTGTGCTCCTGCAGGTGAGAACAGGTAACACAGGTGAGACAGGTGAGACATGTGAGACACGTAACACAGGTGAGACACAGGTGGGACAGGTGAGGCTGAAAAGCTCCTCGACCGTGTTCTGCACAGGTGTGCCCGTCAGCAGCACCTTGTGCTCCTGCAGGTGACACAGGTAAGACAGGTGAGACACGTAAAATGGGTAAAACAGGTGAGACACAGGTGGGACAGGTGAGGCTGAAGAGCTCCTCGGCCGTGTTCTGCAGAGGTGTGCCCGTCAGCAGCACCTTGTGCTCCTGCAGGTAACACAGGTGACACAGGTGAGACAGGTGAGACAGGTAACACAGGTAATGGTAAAACAGGTGATACAGGTGAGAGAAGTGAGACACAGGTGGGACAGGTGAGGCTGAAGAGCTCCTCGACCGTGTTCTGCAGAGGTGTGCCCGTCAGCAGCACCTTGTGCTCCTGCAGGTAAGAGACAGGTGAGACAGGTGAGACAGGTAACACAGGTAAAACGGGTAAAACAGGTGAGACACAGGTGGGACAGGTGGGGCTGCAGAGCTCCTCGACCGTGTTCTGCAGAGGTGTGCCCGTCAGCAGCACCTTGTGCTCCTGCAGGTAAGAGACAGGTGAGACAGGTGAGACAGGTAACACAGGTAAAACGGGTAAAACAGGTGAGACACAGGTGGGACAGGTGGGGCTGCAGAGCTCCTCGACCGTGTTCTGCAGAGGTGTGCCCGTCAGCAGCACCTTGTGCTCCTGCAGGTGACACAGGTAACACAGGTGAGACAGGTAACACAGGTAAAACGGGTAAAACAGGTGAGACACAGGTGGGACAGGTGGGGCTGCAGAGCTCCTCGACCGTGTTCTGCAGAGGTGTGCCCGTCAGCAGCACCTTGTGCTCCTGCAGGTGACACAGGTAACACAGGTGAGACAGGTAACACAGGTAAAACGGGTAAAACAGGTGAGACACAGGTGGGACAGGTGGGGCTGCAGAGCTCCTCGACCGTGTTCTGCAGAGGTGTGCCCGTCAGCAGCACCTTGTGCTCCTGCAGGTGAGAACAGGTGAGACAGGTGAGACAGGTAACACAGGTAATGGTAAAACAGGTGATACAGGTGAGAGAAGTGAGACACAGGTGGGACAGGTGAGGCTGAAGAGCTCCTCGACCGTGTTCTGCAGAGGTGTGCCCGTCAGCAGCACCTTGTGCTCCTGCAGGTGAGAACAGGTGAGACAGGTGAGACACGTAAAATGGGTAAAACAGGTGAGACACAGGTGGGACAGGTGGGGCTGAAGAGCTCCTCGACCGTGTTCTGCAGAGGTGTGCCCGTCAGCAGCACCTTGTGCTCCTGCAGGTGAGAACAGGTAACACAGGTGAGACAGGTGAGACATGTGAGACACGTAACACAGGTGAGACACAGGTGGGACAGGTGAGGCTGAAAAGCTCCTCGACCGTGTTCTGCACAGGTGTGCCCGTCAGCAGCACCTTGTGCTCCTGCAGGTGACACAGGTAACACAGGTGAGACAGGTAACACAGGTAAAATGGGTAAAACAGGTGAGGTACAGGTGGGACAGGTGAGGCTGAAGAGCTCCTCGGCCGTGTTCTGCAGAGGTGTGCCCGTCAGCAGCACCTTGTGCTCCTGCAGGTGAGAACAGGTCGCTCACCAGCTCCATGTGCTTGAGGCTGTCCAGCAGCTTGCAGTGCCGGTTCTTGAGGCGCTGCGTGACCCCAGGTGTGTGTCTGTGTGTGCTCCCAGGTGTGCCCAGGTGTGCCCAGGTGTGCGGCTCACCAGCTCCATGTGCTTGAGGCTGTCCAGCAGCTTGCAGTGCCGGTTCTTGAGGCGCTGCGTGACCCCAGGTAGGTGTGCCCAGGTGTGCCCAGGTGTGCCCAGGTGTGCCCAGGTGTGCGGCTCACCAGCTCCATGTGCTTGAGGCTGTCCAGCAGCTTGCAGTGCCGGTTCTTGAGGCGGTGCGTGCCCCCAGGTGTGTGTCTGTGTGTGACCCTGTGTGTCTCTAGGTGTGCCCAGGTGTGCCCAGGTGTGCCCAGGTGTATCCCCAGGTGTGGCTCACCAGCTCCATGTGCTTGAGGCTGTCCAGCAGCTTGCAGTGCCGGTTCTTGAGGCGGTGCGCCTCGTCGATGACCACGCAGCGCCACTGCACCTCGCGCAGCTCGGGGCAGTCCGACAGGATCATCTCGAACGTCGTGATCAGCGCGTCGAACTTGTACGCGCCGGGGATCAGCCGGCCCTGGGACAGGTGAGTCACAGGTGGGTCACAGGTGGGTCACAGGTGTGTCACAGGTGTGTCACAGGTGAGTCACAGGTGAGTCACAGGTGAGTCACAGGTGGGTCACAGGTGGGTCACAGGTGGGTCACAGGTGTGTCACAGGTGGGTCACAGGTGTGTCACAGGTGAGTCACAGGTGGGTCACAGGTGGGTCACAGGTGAGTCACAGGTGAGTCACAGGTGGGTCACAGGTGGGTCACACGCCACTGCACCTCGCGCAGCTCGGGGCAGTCCGACAGGATCATCTCGAACGTCGTGATCAGCGCGTCGAACTTGTACGCGCCGGGGATCAGCCGGCCCTGGGACAGGTGAGTCACAGGTGAGCCACAGGTGGGTCACAGGTGGGTCACAGGTGAGGCACAGGTGGGTCACAGGTGGGTCACAGGTGAGGCACAGGTGGGTCACAGGTGGGTCACAGGTGAGGCACAGGTGGGTCACAGGTGGGTCACAGGTGAGGCACAGGTGGGTCACAGGTGGGTCACAGGTGAGGCACAGGTGGGTCACAGGTGGGTCACAGGTGAGGCACAGGTGGGTCACAGGTGGGTCACAGGTGAGGCACAGGTGGGTCACAGGTGGGTCACAGGTGAGGCACAGGTGGGTCACAGGTGGGTCACAGGTGAGGCACAGGTGGGTCACAGGTGGGTCACAGGTGAGGCACAGGTGGGTCACAGGTGGGTCACAGGTGAGGCACAGGTGGGTCACAGGTGGGTCACAGGTGAGGCACAGGTGGGTCACAGGTGGGTCACAGGTGAGGCACAGGTGGGTCACAGGTGGGTCACAGGTGAGGCACAGGTGGGTCACAGGTGGGTCACAGGTGAGGCACAGGTGGGTCACAGGTGGGTCACAGGTGAGGCACAGGTGGGTCACAGGTGGGTCACAGGTGAGGCACAGGTGGGTCACAGGTGGGTCACAGGTGAGGCACAGGTGGGTCACAGGTGGGTCACAGGTGAGGCACAGGTGGGTCACAGGTGGGTCACAGGTGAGGCACAGGTGGGTCACAGGTGGGTCACAGGTGAGGCACAGGTGGGTCACAGGTGGGTCACAGGTGAGGCACAGGTGGGTCACAGGTGGGTCACAGGTGAGGCACAGGTGGGTCACAGGTGGGTCACAGGTGAGGCACAGGTGGGTCACAGGTGGGTCACAGGTGAGGCACAGGTGGGTCACAGGTGGGTCACAGGTGAGGCACAGGTGGGTCACAGGTGGGTCACAGGTGAGGCACAGGTGGGTCACAGGTGGGTCACAGGTGAGGCACAGGTGGGTCACAGGTGGGTCACAGGTGAGGCACAGGTGGGTCACAGGTGGGTCACAGGTGAGGCACAGGTGGGTCACAGGTGGGTCACAGGTGAGGCACAGGTGGGTCACAGGTGGGTCACAGGTGAGGCACAGGTGGGTCACAGGTGGGTCACAGGTGAGGCACAGGTGGGTCACAGGTGGGTCACAGGTGAGGCACAGGTGGGTCACAGGTGGGTCACAGGTGAGGCACAGGTGGGTCACAGGTGGGTCACAGGTGAGGCACAGGTGGGTCACAGGTGGGTCACAGGTGAGGCACAGGTGGGTCACAGGTGGGTCACAGGTGAGGCACAGGTGGGTCACAGGTGGGTCACAGGTGAGGCACAGGTGGGTCACAGGTGGGTCACAGGTGAGGCACAGGTGGGTCACAGGTGGGTCACAGGTGAGGCACAGGTGGGTCACAGGTGGGTCACAGGTGAGGCACAGGTGGGTCACAGGTGGGTCACAGGTGAGTCACAGGTGAGTTACAAGTGGGTCACAGGTGAGGCAGGTGAGCACACCTGGCTGACAGAGGTGTTTGCTGCATCTGGATCACCTGCCACGTTGCTATGATACGGCACACTGTGCACAGGTGTGTCACTGATCCCACACAGGTGAGGCAGGTGAGCGCACCTGGCTGGCACTCAGGGGTGTTTCCTGCACCTGGATCACCTGACAAACTGCTGTGGTACACCACACTGTGCACAGGTGCGTCACTGATCCCATACAGGTGTGTCACAGGTGTGTCACAGGTGGGACAGGTGAGGCAGGTGAGCACACCTGGCTGACAGTCAGGGGTGTTTGCTGCACCTGGATCACCTGCCACACTGCTATGGTACGGCACACTGTGTACAGGTGTGTCACTGATCCCATACAGGTGTGTTACAGGTGTGTCACAGGTGGGACAGGTGAGCACACCTGGCTGGCACTCAGGGGCGTGGCATCCACCTGGATCACCTGCCGGGTAGCTGTGGTACACCACACTGTGTACAGGTGTGTCGCTGATCCCATACAGGTGTGTTATTAACCCCGTACAGGTGTGTTACCTGCCCAGGTAAGCTCACCTTGGCGTCCTTGCAGTACATCTCGTACTGCTGGATCACCTGCCGGCTGGCCAGGCTGCACAGGTGTGTCAGTAACCCCACACAGGTGCGTTATTTACCCGATACAGGTGTGTTACAGGTGTGTTACAGGTGTGTTACCTGCCCAGGTGAGCTCACCTTGCCGTCCTTGCAGTACATCTCGTACTGCTGGATCATCTGCCGGCTGGCCAGGCTGCACAGGTGTGTCAGTAACCCCATACAGGTGCGTCACTAACCCCATACAGGTGTGTCACAGCCCCCATACAGGTGTGTTACCTGCCCAGGTGTGCCCAGGTGAGCTCACCTTGGCGTCCTTGCAGTACATCTCGTACTGCTGGATCATCTGCCGGCTGGCCAGGCTGCCGTGGTACACGATGGTGTTGAGGCCGGTCCAGGTGCCGAACTCGCGCTCCCAGTTGGCGATGGTGGAGAGCGGCGCGATCACCAGGTACGGCCCGCGCACACCTGCGCCGTGCACCTCCTGCAGGAACGCGATCGACTGGATCGTCTTGCCCAGCCCCATCTCGTCCGCCAGGATGCAGTTCTGCCTGCGGGGGGGGACAGGTGAGACACACCTGGCACAGGTGAGACACACCTGAGACAGGTGAGATACACCTGACACAGGTCAGGCACACCTGAGACAGGTAACACCTATCTAGAATACACCTGGGACAGGTAACCTACACCTGGGATACACCTGAGATACACCTGGGACAGATAAGGTGCACCTGGGACAGATGAGACACACCTGGGACAGGTGAGATACACCTGGGACAGGTGAGATACACCTGAGACAGGTAACATACACCTGAGGGACGGGGGCTGCTCTTGCCCAGCCCCATCTCGTCCGCCAGGATGCAGTTCTGCCTGCGGGGGGCGACAGGTGAGGCACACCTGGCACAGGTGAGACACACCTGGTACAGGTGAGACACACCTGGGACAGGTAACATCTATCTAGAATACACCTGGGACAGGTAACCTACACCTGGGATACATCTGAGATACACCTGGGACAGGTAAGGTGCACATGGGATACACCTGGCACAGGTAACATACACCTGAGACAGGTCAGGCACACCTGAGGCAGGAGAAATACACCTGGCACAGGTGAGACACGCCTGGCACAGGTGAGGCACACCTGGGACAGGTGAGACACACCTGAGGCAGCTGAGACACACCTGGTACAGGTGAGATACACCTGGGACAGGTGAGATACACCTTGGACAGGTAAGGTGTACCTGAGATACACCTGGGACAGGTAAGGTGCACATGAGATACACCTAGGACACGTAACATACACCTGAGACAGGTGAGACACACCTGGCACAGGTGAGATACACCTGGCACAGGTAACATACACCTGAGGGACAGGGGCTGCTCTTGCCCAGCCCCATCTCGTCCACCAGGATGCAGTTCTGCCTGCGGGGGGGGACAGGTGAGACACACCTGGCACAGGTGAGACACACCTGGCACAGGTGAGACACGCCTGAGACAGGTGAGACACACCTGGGACAGGAGAGATACACCTAGCACAGGTGAGACATGCCTGGCACAGGTGAGGCACACCTGGGACAGGTGAGACACACCTGAGACAGGTGAGAAACGCCTGGTACAGGTGAGACACACCTGGGACACGTAAGCTGTACCTGAGATACACCTGGGACAGGTAAGGTGCACATGGGATACACCTGGCACAGGTAACGCACACCTGAGACAGGTGAGATACACCTGACACAGGTCAGGCACACCTGAGACAGGTAACACCTATCTAGAATACACCTGGGACAGGTAACCTACACATACACCTGAGACAGGTGAGACACACCTGGGACAGGTGAGATACACCTGGGACAGGTAACATACACCTGAGACAGGTGAGACACACCTGGGACAGGTGAGATACACCTGGGACAGGTAAAGGACAGCTAGGATAGGCCTGAGATGCACCTGGGACAGGTAACATACACCTGGGATACACCTAGGACAAAAATCTATACCTCAGATACACCTGGGACAGGTAAGGTGCACCTGGGACAGGTAACATACACCTGGCACAGGTGAGACACACCTGGCACACGTAACATACACCTGAGACAGGTGAAATACACCTGGGACAGGTACACACATTGCCCAGCCCCATCTCGTCCGCCAGGATGCAGTTCTGCCTGCGGGGGGCGACGGGTGAGACACACCTGGCACAGGTGAGACACACCTGGGACAGGTGAGACACGCCTGGCACAGGTGAGATACACCTGGGACAGGTGAGACACGCCTGGCACAGGTGAGGCACACCTGGGACAGGTGAGATACACCTGGGACAGGTAACATACACCTGGGCCAGGTAACACCTATCTAGAATACACCTGGAACAGATAACCTACACCTGGGATACACCTGAGATACACTTGGGACAGGTAAGGTGCACATGGGACAGGTAAGGAGCCCCTGGGACAGGTAACATACACCTGGCATACGCCTGGGACAGGTAACATGCACCTAGTCCATGAGTTCCCCAGGTGTGCCCCATTGCCCAGGTGTGTTACCTGTCCCAGATGTGCCCAGGTGTGTTACCTGTCCCAGCTGTGTTACCTGGCCCAGGTGTTCCCAGGTGTGTTACCTGTCCCAGGTATGTTACCTGTCCCAGGTGTGTTACCTGTCCCAGGTGTGTTACCTGGCCAGGTGAGCTCACCTGTTGTACCAGTTGAAGAGCAGCCAGTTAACCCCTTCCAGCTGGTACTCCCGCAGCCGGTTCTGGTTCTTGTACTCGCGCGACGCCTCCAGCTTCTGCCAGGCGCCGGCCTGGGGGCGGGGCTGCAGGTGAGACAGGTGAGACAGGTG